AAGAGGGGGGGTGATTGGGTGAGACTACTGGGGAACCCCTTAAAACCTTGAATGGGAAAGCTTGGACCCCAAGTCCTGTCTAGTATGCCTGCAACCATTTTCTCTTAATAAAGGATGCCTGTTGGAAGAATTATTCCAAGAGTTCTGTCTTCTTAAGATGCAAACAGTAGTCTTGCAAGAAGTGCCCCCCCAGCAGTTTCTTTGAATGTAGTAAGTTATGAAAAACGGAAAAGAAACTGTTAAGAATATGAATATATGATATTTTCAATCAACGTGTAAGAAAGTATCTTTCTTCCTTGCACCCATCCAAAAATACTCCCGTTTCTTCATGCAAGTAAAAGCATGTCTAAAAACATTTTTCCAAGGCAAGTGGTCTGTTTTCCAGTAAAAGGCTTTGAGACAAAGCAGGAGTAACAAACAGTCCTGTCTTTATTCATGTTACAACAGAACCAAAACAAATTGGCGAGCATGCCTTTTATTCCCCCATTTGCAGGGCCAGTGTCAACCAATAAATGCAACATATTTCTCCCGCGTTGCACATGCATGCAAGGCTAGAGACAGCCTGTCTGGTCCCAGGCATCCACATGGTCTGCCCAGGCCTTCTGCAGCCTCCTGCACCTGCTGAATGACTCAGCAGGCCCGTGACATAATACCCCTCCCCTCTTATTTCAAAACATAATAATTTAATATTACACAGATAATACCCTGTCACTCCTTTATCTCTCCCACATGGATAGTTACTATTGTGCATGACTATAACTGAACACTTGTTCTTTTGAGCGTGTTCTGATTTCTAAGTAACCTTAACCCTGTCCACATACTGACAGGAGTCTTACATAGTCCTGTAAGTGTTTGGATGGACCTCTTGCTCGCTCTGACTTTCTTGGAGTGGTTGTGATGTCCTGGCTAGCAAACTCGCCTGCCAGGCTCAACAGGCCAGGACTGTGAAGCCCTCTGAACTCAGGCGACCTCCCATGCTGCTGACTGGCTGGATCTTCTGAACCCAGACCAGAGTTCCTTGGTGGGGTGGAATTCCCCAAGTCCACAATGGACCCCTCTTGGGAGCACTGTCCCTTGAGCCCAAGACCAGCAGATGGATTGGCCTGAAAGACCGGTTATGAACAATGTCCCATTGACCCGGTGCAAGAGTCAGGAGTGTCAGAGTCAAGAGCCGCCTCCATAGCAAGACCACCTTCTGGTGCCTGGGAAGTTCCTCTTTCGCAGAGAGACTGTGGTCCATGATCATAATTGTGGTCCTCCTCCACCCTAAGAGCAGAACCAGGAACAGAAGTGTGGCTGGGACGTCTCCAGCGCAGTTGGTTGATGTGGCGACGGATCATCCAACCATCGTCTCAGGCCACTTCGTATGACAGTGATCCAGAGACCTTGCATACCACAGCTGTCACCCAGAGATGTCCAGGCCCATAATTCCTTGCCCAGAATGGATCGTCCACCTGAAGTCTCCTAGGTGCCCACGGCTGTGACACCTGTGAAGCCACCCAGTCTGCGTGAAACCTGTCCAGTTTAGTAATGAGTCTGCAACCCCAGCGGAGTTCACCTGGGCTTTTGCCAATAGCTGTGCAAGGTGTTTTGAGCTGGCGCAAAAGAAAGTCAGCCACCCTGTGATGCCAATTGCCATGCTTGATCCTCTTGAGAGCATCTTTGGTTGTGTGTACCATACACTCAAATGGAGCTGTTTTGTAGTTCTCTATCTTGCTTCTTATGGATTCAGACATTTTCTCAAAATACTGTATATGCCGGCGTATAAGGCAACCCAGCATATAAGACGACCCCTGTCTTCAGCGCCGAGTCACATGTCTAGAAAGTCATCTTATACGCCAGAAACTACCAGTATTTCCAGCGTATAAGACGACTCGACATATAAGATGACCCCTGACTACGTTGCCGATTTTAACACTTGCGAAAGTCGTCTTATACGCTGGAATATGCGGTAGATATGAAAGCAGGAAATTGATATATCCTGGTGCTTCAGAATGTCAACTATTAGAAAACATTTCCTTAGGAAAAAGATCAGGTTTCCCCATGGCAATTTTATTCCCCAAAGAATTTAATACAGGATTGCACTAGATATTTTATTCTAAGTAGAACCCTGCTCACAAATCATTGTATACTCCCTATTGTATGCCTTCTTACACTCTTGTAATCCCTTCCTCTATAATGAATGTAAATACCAACATGAATTCTTTTCCAATTATCTCAGTGCTGGAGTGAGCATTCCAAAGGACAGAGGAATGGGGGAAGGGGCTGTAAGAGCTACCCTTTTACTTGGCTTCCTTGTGAGTCAGGTTTTGGAAACCTTTCCCACCCTTTGTCCTCACCCAGATGTTTGCGATAGTATTCTTTGGACACTATAAAGCAGGGATCTTGAATAGCAGATCCCTGCTATAAAGCAAAGGAAAGCTAAGTAAAATCACTAGCACATTTGTGATCATGTGATTGGACCTAGTAACAGTTTTGTTTAACAACTGAGTTGCCTGTTAAGGACTCCTGGTACAGTCAGATTCTCCTAGCTGCAATCAGTGAAACAAATTAAATCTTCTGCTCACATCAGCTGTAGAAATATGTCTGGAAGTCCTTCCTGCTAAATAGAAAAAAGACTTGGCATCCTTACCAGTGACCAACAGCTACTTTAATCTAATACATTAATATGCCTCTCCTTTTTAAAAAACTTTCTGATAACAGACTGGAAATATGGTTTCATCCTTAAACTTTACAGCAGACAAGCTAGATTTTAGCAAATCAGTTCTAGACATATATTCTAGCCTACTGAACAGAAATGATATATATGAACATAAGGCCTCAAAATGCTCACATGTCAAGAAATTGGAAGAAGATACTTTATTCTGCAGTCCTGTTTTCTGGCTTTGACTCAAAATAATAAAAATGGGTGTGGTTGGTAGGATAATCAGATTAATAAAAAATTAAACATCTGAACCATGAACAGATGACTAAATAAACAACTTGCCTATTTCTTAGTTCAATCTAGATGCAGTTGGAAAGAAACTTGCATCTACCCAAGTTTCTAAACAGCTCCTAAAATATTTCAATTGAATAATGGGAAGAAAGCATAAGTTTTCATTAAATTGCTAGTTGTGTCCCTTTAATTGAGACTTCATGACACTTTACAGAACAGAAGGGCACCTTTCCTAAAATGATTAGGGAGGAGAATGAAAAGAACAAAGGTATCTTGCCGGCAGACAGAAAAACAATAACAAAAATGACATGCCACATGTGATAAAGTGTGCCACTTACTTTAGTATTAAGTACTGAAGATTTATACACATTAGCTGGGTTCAACAGTAGCTTATGCTCCGACTAAAAAACAGATGCTGTGTTCTCACAATATCTGATACCCAGAGAAAAGAATTGTATGAGGGCTTCACTTGTGACTGACATGATAAAACAGTGGCTTCCCACCATTCACCAAACCATAGTTATTGCCCCATTCCATTTCAAGGCTACCCCAGCTTTTGTGAGAATTCTGCTATTAGAAATTCAAGCGGTTTCAGCAAAAGCAAGGCAAAAGCAAGGAGGGGTGGAGGGACCTTGATGCCCGAATCTGATGTACCCCAACCTTCTTGCCAATGTTCCTAATCTTCATATAAGTGCTAATCTATGCTGAAAAGACAAGACAAGCTATCTGGGCCAATACTGTCACACAATCCCCAACTAACGATGATGAGTTTATTAAACTTGTGCAATAGTGTCATTCGGTTGGAAGGTCACCTTTTGTATTAAGTCTGCTTGGGTGCATATTCTTTCCAAACAGTTTTCTTTTGCTATTGGAAGCCCTCAACTTACAACAGTTCATTTAGTGAATGTTCAATATTACAACAGCATTTTTCACACTTATGACCATTGTAGCTTCCCCACAGTCATGCAATTTACCTGCCAATGCTTGACAACTGGTTCCTATTTATGCCGGCTGCAGATTCCCGGGGTCACATGATCATCTTTCGTGACCTTCTGATAAGCCGAGTCAATGGGGGAAGCCAGATTCGCTAAATAACGGTGTTACCAACTTAACTAATTTTACTAATTTAATAATTGCAGTGATCCACTAACAAATGTGGCACTGGGCCTTCCCGCGCTTTTCCCAAGGGTCAGCAGGGCCGGGGAACCTCCTCCAAGGGTGGAAGCAAGGCCCGGAGCAGCCAGGCTCCCCTCCCCAGCCGACTACGACCAAGGTCCCGGCTTCTCACAGCAATGAGGCTGATGAAGCAGCAGCTTCCTCAAAGTGACTTTCCCCTGCAGAACAGGCCACCAAGATGCAGCACTGGAACAATGGGCGCAAGGACACTCTAGGGTCAACTGAGTGTGTGGTTGCCTTTATATGGTCTAAATGTCCTGGCTTTTTTAGGTTTAAAAATATTTCCAGTTAAAAGGAAAAAAAAACTGTTTTCCTTCCATCCTAAAGCTGAAGTGAATTCTGCACCAACATCTCACATAGACTGCATTATTCACATATTAGGGTTTTTTGCTTTCCGGAATGGTCTGTTTTTATTGAGATACATATCCAGTCTTGTTATCAGTGTTCTTTCATGCTTCAGGCTCAGTGGTGGGATTCTGCCGGTTTGCACCACTTCGGCAGAACTGGTAGCTAATTTCTTGTTGCCCAGGCCCAGAATAGACTTCCGGAAGTGGCATCCACAGAGAGAACCGGTTGTTCACATATTTGAATCCCACCACTGTTCCAGCTGCATGATATAGAGCCAAGTTACATAAGGATGTGAAGGGTTCTGGAACAAAGGGATATTGTTTAGTCTAACTGTTGCTTTCTTGCTATTTGTAATCAGCTTTTGCACCAGAGAAATTTCATGCAATCTTGGGAAACATGTACAGGGATGGGATATAGATGTACATGGAAGGAGAGAATAAGGGAGTGCCTTTCTTATGATGTAATGGCTCTGTTGTCTGATTTTAATTGGCTAACAAAGTTTATAAAGCCATGCTACCAACTTTTAAGATGTGGCACTTCTGGACGTGACTTTACCAGCGTTCCAGATTGTTGGCCACCCAGCTGCTAAATTTGATCAAATAAAGTGGTGCTTAATCAAGTAGTCTCCGCTTGGGTTATCTAATTAATTTAATATGGTATCTCAAGTTTAAGTAATGGACTGGGACCTTACAGCACCATGCATGTATTTCATTTGTATGGTGCCAAACACAACAGTTTCTTCACCCGCAGGCTTTCCTATCTCTGCCAGTCCCCAAAACCAATGTGCCAATGGCCAGGAGGATACAGTCTGCGACTCAAAGACCCGGATGGGCTCTTTTCTGCTATTAGGGTTTTTTGCTTTCTGGAAGGGTCTGTTGGTTTGGTGATGGCTTCCTGAACTATATGAACCTAAGGAGTGGTCTGTTTTTATTGAGATACATATCCGGTCTTGTTATCAGTGTTCTTTCATGCTTCAGGCTCAGTGGTGGGATTCAGCTGGTTCGCACCACTTCGGCAGAACCGGTAGCTATTTTTTTGTTGCCCAGGCCCAGAATGGACTTCCAGAAGCGGCATCCATACAGAGAACTGGTTTTTCACATATTTGAATCCCACTACTGTTCAGGCTGCATGATATAGAGCCAAGTTACATAAGGATGTGAAGGGTTCTGGAACAAAGGGAAATTGTTTAGTCTAACTGTTGGTTTCTTGCTTTTCGTAATCAGCTTTTGCACCAGAGAAATTTCATGCAAGCTTGGGAAACATGTACATGGATGGGATATACTGAAGGAGGGAAATCTCACCGGCTCAAGGTTGACTCAACCTTCCATCCTTCCAAGGTAGGTAAAATGAGGACCCAGATTGTTGGGGGAAATGTAAATATATATCTCTCCTGGTAGCTAACAAAGTGGGAGAGAACCCGTGGCTTAGAGGTTATAACATCTGCCTAACATGCAGATAGCCCAGGTTCGAATCTCAGAAGAGTAAGTTTTGGCTGATGAGGGTTAAAGGAACCCGAAATAGCTATACCATTCTCTCTTTATTCTTTGTTAGCAAAACCTAAAAACCTATATATATATATATATATATATATATATATATATATATATATATATATATATATATATATATATACACACACATTGCTTACTGGTGTACACCGCTTAGAGAGTGCTTGCACTTAAAGTGGTATATAAGTCTCATAAATAAATAAATAAATAAGGGAGTGTACAGGAATGTCTTTCTTATGATGTAATGGCTCTGTTGTCTGATTTTCATTGGCTAACAAAGTGTATAAAGCAATGCTACCAACTTTCTAAGACGTGACACTTCTGGACGTAACTCTGCCAGCATTCCAGATTGTTGGCCACCCAGCTGCTTAATTTGGTCAAATAAAGTGGTGCTTGATCAAGAAGTCTCCGCTTGGGTTATCTGATTAGGTTGATACGGTATCTCAAGTTTAAGCAAGGTATTGGAATCTTACAGGTGAGAAACTGGTGTTTTTTCCACATCTGTCCTTCTGCCTCGGAGTGGAAGAGAATAAAGTGATTAATCAAATATTTTGAACTTGCATTCTTGCCAAAATGGTTTCCATTTCTAAATTCCAGCCAAAAAGCTTGTCGCGCAGAGTTGAAGCTATGGTGCTAATCAGAGTGCTGGCAAACCTTCTGATACTACAGCTTTCTTACGGTAAGATCCTGGACAATGGAGCCAAGGGTGGATGGAGCTTTAGGTGTCTTTTTCGGTTTAAACCTCCAGTTATAAGAGTCAACTTGCATGTAATTATTAATTGTAGATGTGTAAGCAGGTCAAAGTAAAGAGTGGGCAAAGAAGGTCCAGTTGGTGCAAATGGGGAAAACCATTGCTGTATTTGTAATGATAGTATGAATTGATACATTTATTCATATCAGCAAAACTAACCAGTTAAAAATATATAGTCCAAAATATGGTCAGCTTCCTTTCGTGTTTCTATTTGGCAACTGACTTCAATAGAGGAAGATAACTTATTAATATAAGATGTATTGAGAAAAAGTTGGGGAGGGGTTTTCACTGTTAAGGTGGTCTTTAAAAATGGTGGCCATTGATTTTTGTCCAAATAGGTAAAATAAATCTGTTGGATTTAATCTAGCTCCCATTCTGTTAGATTTGCTGCAATATACATTGTGCAATATCTGGGTCATTGCTTCTGAAACAAATATCAAAACCGGTATGTAGGGATTTTACTGCCATAAATGTTGACTCAAACTGTTTTTAGTGAACTAAATACTAATGTTATCAACTTCCCATCCAAACTCATAGATTAAATTCCATTTTCATCAATCTCTTCCCCACTTTCACTCCTTCTGCCCCCTATTCTCCCCATCACAAGGCCATGTATTTTGCTTAGCAATGCAGTACAGCAAGATCAGACTCTGGACCAAATGCTTCTAAATGTCCTTCCTTTTTAGAAGCCCATCTGAACTATTCTTCGTACTTCAACTGATTAGCTTAATCTGACTGGCAGTGATACTATTAAGTTACTGAGCAGTGGAGAATGTAAGCAAAATATGCCATAGTTTTTCATAAGGCCAAATGCCTTAGATCTCAGCCCTCAGAATGGCTGCTGCTATTCAGAATCATGCTGTTTAACCTATTTGCAGCATTTCTGGAGATGTGAAGAATATTAATTTTTAAATCTGAAGCTTTTTGTTTTGTACTTAATTTCTCTTGGATGGTAAACCTGAAATTAGGAATTACTGTTTATGTTTGCAATAGATTTGACTAAGATGATCCCAGTTTTTGGCTCCAGTGCAAGCATCCTAACTGGTGTCCAAAAACGTACTGGAAAGTATAACTATACAGACATGCAAAGTCAGATTTAGCCATCTACAGGTAGTCCTCAACCTTACGACCACAATTGAGCTCAATTTGTTTTTTTCTTTTGGGTAAGAGTTTTATTGATTTTTTACAATAACAACCTTAGTGCCTGGTGTACAGCATGTTTTCTTGGTTCATGATTTTTTAAAAAAAATATATACAATCAATATTAGTTAATTAACAGTCAATAATAATTAATTTTTATATTTCCATAATTAGTAAATCAATTGATAATACATTTCCTTGAGCCTCTCTTCTCCCAATAGTATTCTCCCAATAGTATTCTCCTTCTTCAGCATTAAACAAATATACTTTTTGATATTTGATATTTTCCATATATAAATGATTAAATAAAAACATTGTCTTCTATATTTATACCAACAATAATAGCGTCCGTACATAGCACTTTTTCTTATCAGCTTATGTTGTTTTCATAAAAGTCATATTATTGATTCACCATATACCTTATTTTCATAAATCTTGTTTAAGTTCAGTTTCTCCATAATATTCAAACAATTCTTATCAATCATAATTTTCTCAATAATTAACATCTAAATATCCAAATTTTCCACTTAAATATATCATCCCAGTATTTTCATATTTCATATATTATAGAAATACTATACTACTTATCTATCATAACAACTACCTATAACAACTTTTCTAATCAATTCATATTTCACTTCTATTGATAAAAATTAATTGAATCATTATATATCCTTTTTTCAAAGTTCTTATTAAGCCTAATTCCCCCTCAGTATTTCAATCATTCCTTAATCCTAAATCTTTTCAAACTTAATTTGTCTTTAAAGTTCAAACTTTTCTTTCACTTTCATCATCCCAATATTTTTACATTTTGTATCTTACGAAAAATACTATATTACTTATATCTCTTATCTCACTTATTCTAAAACCCCTTTATAGCCTAAGTTACTTATATATTTAGCCATATTCAAACAAGTGTTTGCTTGTATAATATTCCATCTGGTAGGGCGAGTCAAGTCTCTTAAGTCCATCTCTAATCTTCTTTCTTTGCCAAATTGTTTTCCGGATTAATATTTTTGATGTTAAATATTTCTTGTATTTTTGTAGTTGTTGTTAGGTGTAGAGGATACATAATACACAAGATGTGTGCTTTTTGTCTCCCAAACTATGATTTTTCTAACGGTGTCCATTTTGTTAAGTCTTTTTTCTTCTCAGGTTTATTTTGACATTCTAATGCATAAGGTATCTTTCCCATATTTATTGTTTTATCCAACTCTTGTGAGTTTTTTCTTATTTGTATTAAGTAATAATTCCCTTCTTTTGTGACTTTGCCAATTAAGTCATTTTTTTCTAGTTCACATTCTGTTATCTGATTTGTTTGTTCATTCTTTACCATCATTCTTTGAATGTTTTTATTGTAAATTTAAGTTAGAAGTGTATTTATTTATGTTGTCAAAGTTATGTTTAAGCTCCTCGTGGTTTAAAGCTATTGTGATTTGTATCTGTTGTAGCGTTGCATAAATTTCTTTTTGGAAAGTTTTTGTCTTATCTTGAAACGTTGCTTCTAGAGGTCTTTGATCTTTTTGGCTAAATCCTTCAAGAGTAGATATTAAGTGTGGTTTTCTGTCATTTTTTCATGAATATGTCATATCCATGTTATCTCCCCCTTTCGAGTAAACCATTGTAAGTGCCATAGTCTCTGTAATTAGCCTTGTCAAGCTGGCCAAAACTCAAAATCCAAACAGTCCAATTTTATATAGTTCTTATCTTTATATATATATATATATATATATATATATATATATATATATATATATATATATATATATACACACACACACACACACACATACACACACACATTAATCACTTAAGATTCATAGGTAGTTTACCTACATGGGCAAGACATATATATGATTTGCAAATAATCCATTTTATTCAACTAGTTTGATACTGTGTGTCCCACAGTCATCTGTTACACATCAAAATTAGTGTACTGATAGAAACACTACCAATAAAAGTGATTCTGTTCTACTCCACAGCCAAACACTGAACATTTTTGGTTTCTTTTCAGCACAAAAGTCTTCTGAACTGGTCATTGGAGGTGAAGAATGTAACATAAATGAACATCGTTTCCTTGTAGCCTTGTACACCTTTAAATCTAAGAGGTTTCACTGCAGTGGGACTTTGATCAACCAGGAATGGGTGCTCACTGCTGCATACTGCGACAGGTGAGGGCATTACAGAATGTGGAAGGATTGAGGTAGATTGTGTTTAGATATCCAGATTTTTTAATAATGTTTCTGCTGGTTTTTACTGACTTCTCTGTGCATTTTGAATGAGTGTTCTATTGCTACTGCTATTGCTCCTCATAATCATATCTTGAGCAATGCTGTTTATATTTATGGTCAAATTTCCATGTTCTTCATCATAGTATTCATATCTTTGCTTTTTTCTGGGATATAATAATAACAAGAATAACAAAATCTGGAACATTACCTGAATACCATCAGCACTGACAAAATCAACACAGTCAATTGCAAAAGGCAGCCTTACCTGGAACACCCTGTGACAATCCCTTTAATACCATGGAACCACAAAATTTACCTACCCCAGGTCCTTCGGAAGGATTTGGTAGGTGGATAAAAATACCAAATCCAGTCTAAATATCTGACTGACTGCACAATTAACCAGAAAATATTAATCATATGCTGCCTGACTCTGTGGGGGTTTTTTTAATATTTTTTTTAAAAAATCAGTAAAAGATAAAAAGATGATGAAGTGAGAGACTTCTCTCTCCCTTATCAAAGGCCTGGGTGAGGCACTACACCTTAATACCTCTTCTAAACAAGAGCAGAGTGGGAACCATCCAGATTTTGTTTTCGTATTTATCTATCCCACCATCCTTTGAGATAGGCTGGGTTGAGAGAGGATGTGTGCAATACAAAGTCATAACATTAGTGCTGTAACCACATGGGTTCTATCTTTAACACAGTCATCTATAATTTATAAGTGCAACATTCACACAATACACATCCAAGTCAAGAAAGAGATGGATTCATACTATATGCTGAGCTTTCTGAATGCTAAGCAGCATACAGGTGAATTCACGCTTGCATAAACAATGGAAATAGTTTATTCAATCACCTTGAATAAATTTCTTGAGTGAACCCAGACCTCTAGGACTGTGGTGGCGAACATATGGCACACATGCCACAGGTGGCATGCAGAGCCCTCTCTGTGGGCATGCACGCTATCACTCCAGTCCTAGGCCTTCAGCTGGATTGTATAAAACATTTTTGCTTTAGGCCTCTGCCGCTGGGTGCAAAAAAAAAAAAAAATCAATCAATTTCAACTTCTCGCGGGGAAAAAAGATCTCGCAAAGTTGGAATTGATTGATTAAACTTTTTAATCCCACCCAGTCTGCTGTTACCACCACAGCCAAGCCCACCCAACAGGCCACACCCACCCAATGTGCCATGCCCACCCAGCACCTGATGATACATAAGAAGACTTACAATCAATGTAAGTCTTCCAGGTTTCTGGCAAGTTTTCCTCCCAAACACCGTTGGAGAAGGTAGGTTATGGCCCTTTCTTGTTTGGGTTAACCATCCTGCTTGAGGGCCAAAATGAGGTCAAGGACCATCCCAAGTAATATAGAGTTTACTTTAAGTTGTTATTGTTAACGTTGTTTTTCTTGTAGGAAAAATATCCGGATAAAGCTTGGTACGCATAGCACAAATGTAACAAATGAGGATGTGCAGACAAGAGTCCCAAAGGAGAAGTTCTTTTGTCTCAGTAGCAAAACCTACACCAAATGGGACAAGGACATCATGTTGATCAGGCTGAAAAGACCTGTTAACAACAGTGAACACATCGTGCCTGTGAACTTGCCTTCCAACCCTCCCAGTCTGGGCTCAGTTTGCCGTATTATGGGATGGGGCACAATCTCAGCTACTAAAGGTAGGGATCTCTGTCTATACTCTCAGACCCAGCTTTTGATGTAACATCAACTAGGTCTAGGGTCCCACTATGTCACTCATGAATATTGGAATGTGGATGGACAATGGAATTCCCTAAGATTCCATTTCTTCATCAGTTTTACATCCACAAGGTCTTTGGAATAAAAGAAATCAGTAAGGAACTGGCATGCTGTATAGCTAAAAAAAACAAACCCCATAGGATTAGGTTTATTTATAGAAGTTCTGTTGGGAATCAGAAAAGGACCAATAGCATGGCAGTGTTGTGTGGCTTCATTACATTTAATAATGGGGTGTTTTGTGAATGGCCATGGCAGTTTTGTAAATGCAGAAGTATCCCGGGAAGGATATTTTCACAGTATATTTACCACTCGCTCTCAAAATGCCAAATATGAACTCAAAAACCTGGCCTATCCTTGGATGGATATAAACTCTCTGTGGATGGTTGCAGAGGACTTCTTCCTTTTAAGTCCTAGTGGTGCAGGGGTTAGAATGCAGTATTGCAGGCTATCTCTGCTCCCAACCTGGAATTCGATCCTGACCGGGCTCAAGGTTGACTCAGCCTTCCTCCTTTTGAGGTTGATAAAAGGAGGCCTCAGATTGTTGGGGGCAATATGCGGATGCTGTAAATCACCCAGAGAGTACAGTAAAGAGGTCCAAGTGCTATTGCTAGTAAGGCCATGGAAGTGTTACATGCACTCTCAGCTTTAGCTTATGGTCATCCACACATTCAAGCCTGTCAAGGTAGTAGATCATGTAAGCCCACCTTCTTTTCTACCTATGTTTCTACCAAATACGTGTAGCTAGAGCAGACAAGTCACACAGTCTTGGTCAAGAGCTGGAAAATATTTAAGGACTCACAGAAATAATTTTCAACTAACCATTGAAGCACCATTTTTGGAATACATGGAAACCCAGTGAATTTAAAGTAACAGCAAAACATTACTGCTGGCAATGTAAATTTATTCTTTCTCATACGCACACATGTACCCATCCATCTTTAGACACATCCTTCTCAATTAGGCTGCCACGCTCCAGCTAGAGGGACAGAAACTCCTACCTTGTGGATCCAAAGATGACTCAAGGAGTGCGTGAGCTTTAGGACCCCATTTTATCCTGAAAAGTTCTTGATTTGTTGATTAGCTGGGATTGGGGTTTATTCCATATTCTCAGGCTCAACTTTGTCTGATTCAGATGACTTTTTTCCTTTGTTCCCTTAGACCTATTTCCACCTCATCTGTCCTCCCCAAGGGATCTTTTGGACAAGATTCCTGGCTTTTTGTTCTTGTACACAATACAAACTTATGGGTCTACTTCATCTTCACATATGGAAGTTTCAGTATGCTGGCTGAGGAATTTTGGGAGTGGAAGTTCACAAGTCTTAAAGTGGCCAAGTTTGGAGACCCCTGTTCTAGGTCATCTCCAGGGGAGGCGAGATCAATTCTATGACTTTTGAACTAGCAAAAGCCCCACTTTTCCAACAAGGCAATCTTTGCGTAGAGTGCCGGAGAAATTTGAGAAGCCTTCAAATGCCGTTCAGCTGATTTAAGACCTATTAATATCTTGACAAAAATATTTAACTAAATGTTTTTCCCAGGAGTCCCTTTGAACAGCTTTGAAAGACAATTCTTCCTATTCTAGGCAGTGAGATCAGCTCCACTGGTGGAGACAATGGAAATTATAGGTAAATTGTGAAAGGTAGAATTTTGCCTATTTTTAATTTTTTTTCAGAGACTTATCCCGATGTCCCTCATTGTGCTAACATTAACATACTCGATTATGAGGTGTGTCGAGCAGCTCACGGAGGGTTGCCAGCAACAAGCAGAACATTGTGTGCAGGTATCCTGAAAGGAGGCAAAGATTCATGTAAGGTAAGATGACCCGTTTTAAGATGGACTCCTAAAGAAATCATGCTAATTTTCAAAGCTATGACAGAGATCTAGCCTTGAAGGCATCTTTAGAAACATACAAAGTTACGGCTTTTGCTAACTCAAGTGCCTTCTAGGTGTCTAGATTTCCAGACTTCCCAATAATGGTGATTCTGGTGGAGAAAACTCAAGGATTTAAATTCTTCTACAAGGAACCTGGATTGGGGAACATGGAAGTGAAACATTGGGGGCTATATGTGAATGGACGATGGGAGGGAATTGTTTGCTCCACTTCCCATTCATAGATACGGTAGTAATGTTTCATGTTTGATTTTTCTCAACAGGGTGACTCTGGGGGACCCCTCATCTGTAATGGAGAAATCCAGGGCATTGTATCTTGGGGGGCGCATCCTTGTGGCCAAAGTCTGAAGCCTGGTGTCTACACCAAGGTCTTCGATTATACTGAGTGGATCCAGAGCATTATTGCAGGAAATACAGATGCGACCTGTCCCCCGTGAAAACTTTTGAAAAAATTAAGAGGAGAAAATGTAACATATTAGTACATCTCTTCTATATCCCTGACCATATCCAACTACATTGGAATATATTCCCAGGCAGTAAGTTTTTTTAAGACTCAAATAGGACTGCCTTTGGAGTAAGAAATGCTCAAAATAGTGCTGCAGAGATCATGTCCCGTTTAATTTCAGTATAAAACAATCTCAGTAAAATGGAGGCCTGTTTTAGGGTGAGGTGCAAAATTTTCTAAAATGGACCATTCCAAATATTTTAACCTCTGAATATCTTTCAATTTCTGTCTACTTCTGGGACAGTGGGGTCCTTGATGCTCTCTGAGCTTGTCTTCTTGCAGACGTTTCATTACCCAGCTAGGTAACATCATCAGTGCTAGAATATTCTCTTCTATTGGTACTTGTGTGGCATTTACAATACGCTCATATGCAGTCACCACTGTTGGCTAAAAAGGATCCTAGGTTAATCCCCATTCCAAATCACTAAATAGAATCTTTTGAGAATCATGTTTTCATGTAAATTCTCAGGTATCCACAGCAATAAAATTGTATAAATCGTCACTCGTTTTCTGACCCTTTGGTTTTGCAAAGAAATGCCCTATTAAATGGCAGCATTTGACCAACTGGGCTTAAAAGCTGAAAAAGGTCTGACCTGGACTTCTGGTTTTGCGTGCTTGAAAGTGAGGAATTTGATCTTCTCTTTTCTATTCTATATTTAATTTCCTGGAAAAGATCCCCTAGGCAGTCCTTTAACAGGACTCATTCTCGGATAAGTCTACCTTGGCCCTTCCTTTCATCTACAAACAAAATACATTGTTCTTGACCTGTTTAATTCAATAGTATGTAACGTAGTGATAATCATCTTCGATAGATTTTTGACCCAATGAGGACAGATGCAATAAGGGCTATTAATTGTAAATGCTTCCAAGCTGGGGGAAGTATGATCCAACTATCAGGTGCAGGGGATACCCTCATTTCTTGCTTGTGAGTACCCCAGCAGTATCTAGTGGGCACTGTGAGAAAAAAAATCTTGGACCGAGATAGGCTTTGGTCAATCTAGCTGAGCTATTTATGCCCTGTTATCTAAAGCAGGGGTGAGAAGCCATCAAATACATGACTGGAAAAGAACTGTATGTTTAACTTTTATTAACATTTCATGTAAATAAAATTAAGTCAAAATGAGTGTCTGGCCCAGCTCCAGGAATTAACCAGTGGAACAATCTGCCTCCAGAAGCTGTGAATGCTCCAACAATGGAAGTTTTTAAGAAGACTGGATAGCCATTTGTCTGCAATGGTATAGGGCAGGGGTAGTCAACCTTTTTATACCTACCGCCCACTTTTGTATCTCTGTTAGTAGTAAAATTTTCTAACCGCCCACCGATTCCACAGTAATGGTGATTTATAAAGTAGGGAAGTAACTTTACTTTATAAAATTTATAAAGCAGAGTTATAGCAAGTTAAAGCATATAATAATAATTACTTACCAAACATGACGAGTTGTGTTTCTACCAAACAGTTATACTTTGGTTTCATCTGACCATATGACATTCTCCCAATCCTCTTCTGGATCATCCAAATGCTCTCTAGCAAACTTCAGACGGGCCCGGACATGTACTGGCTTAAGCAGGGGGACACTTCTGGCACTGCAGGATCTGAGTCCCTGGCAGTGTAGTGTGTTACTGATGGTTGCCTTTGTTACGTTGGTCCCAGCTCTCTGCAGGTCATTCACTAGGTCCCCCTGTGTGGTTCTGGGATTTTTGCTCACCGTTCTTGTGATCATGTTGACCCCATGGGGTGAGATCTTGCATGGAGCCCCAGATTGAGGGAGATTATCAGTGGTCTTGTATGTCTTCCATTTTCTAATTATTCCTCCCACAGTTGATTTCTTCACACCAAGCTGCTTGCCTATTGCAGATTCAGTCTTCCCAGCCTGGTGCAGGTCTACAATTTTGTTTCTGGTGTCCTTTGACAGCTCTTTGGTCTTCACCATAGTGGAGTTTGGAGTGTGACTGAGGTTGTGGACAGGTGTCTTTTATACTGATAACAAGTTCAAACAGGTGCCATTAATACAGGTAATGAGTGGAGGACAGAGGAGCCTCTTAAAGAAGAAGTTACAGGTCTGTGAGAGCCAGAAATCTTGCTTGTTTGTAGGTGACCAAATACTTATTTTCCACCATAATTTGCAAATAAATTCTTTCCAAATCAGACAATGTGATTGTCTGGATTTGTTTTCTCGTTTTGTCTCTCATAGTTGAGGTCTACCTATGATGACAATTACAGGCCTCTCTCATCTTTTTAAGTGGGAGAACTTGCACAATTGGTAGCTGACTAAATACTTTTTTGCCCCACTGTAGAAACAGGAAGTCTGATGAAATTACATTTAATTAATTAAATTATTAATGAGATCCCTGAGGCTGATGCTGCGAAACTAAATACTGGATATCTGGCTCAATTTTTGTAAGGAACAAACGAAGGTCTCCTCTTTCGGAAATATTCAGGCGGTTTCTTTCTTTGGTCATAATATGATTAACAGCACTAAAGCCTGATTCCACAAGATATGAGGTAGGGAAAGGTATCAATAAACTGAATATCATTTTCCACATATTTGGATATAAGGCAGGCATTTTTTTTACTTTGCCATAGGTTTTCATATCCACCACTATCAAATTTATGTTTACTTTCTTCATCATATCTAATTTCTAACAGTTCTTCTTGGCAAGTTATATCAGCCTCTTCAATATTTGCGGTAAAAGGATTTTTCATCCAGTCATACACCTTCAATTTCAAAATATCTTCAGATCGTTTTTCCATGTCCAATTTAAGTTTGTTGAGGTGGCTACTAAATCTGTCAATATCCTCTGGAGCTACATCATCTTTTATAGATGATAATTCAGGAAACTGATGAAATTCTCTCTTCAATAGATTATAACGAAGTAGTTCAAGTTTGTCAATAAATAATGACACAATACTTTGGCAACCTATAAGAATCTTATTAGCTCCGGACTTCCGGTGGATTTTGCGCGCGTGATGGCGGCTACTTTGTAGCCGTCCTCCTGGGTAAGTGTAAGAACCGCTATGAACAGCAGACATCAGCTGTTCAGCGGTTCAAAATCCCCCTCCCGGGCAAAGGGGGGGGGTAGAGAGTGTCTGAATAGTGGTAGAGCCTCTTTTGCACCCCCCAAGTTTTTTTTTTGGGGGGGTGAAAGGAGTGCTCCCACGGAGTTCAGACTTGTCTCCGCTTCCCAGCTGTTTTTGTCCTCAGGGACAAAACGAGCGGCTGCAAACACCTCCGTGCTTAAAGAGAACTGGTGAGTTTTTTTTTTTTTTTTTTTTTTAAACGGACAGAGCTGAGTAGAGGATTTAGTTTTTGCTTTCTTTGACTTATTTGGATTTTAAGTTTTAAGACTTGTTTCTATTTTTATTCTCTCTTTTTATTTTTCTTTCTTTGTTGAAAGGGAAAGTAAAATGGCGATCGGCAAATCCCTCGGTGTTTTTTTTTCTGGAAGTTAGAATGCTGACCGGCAGGCTTTTTGGTGTTTCTCTTTCTTTCCTTTCCCTTTCTCTTTTTATTTCCTTATGATTGGAATGGTTGTTTTTGGTATCTCTAAGTATTTTTCTTGGAACGGACTTTTTCTATTTAATTATTTTTTTTTCTCTTCTCCCTTTTTTTTTTTCTCTTTGAACTCTCTTCTTTTTATTGTAATGATCCTTTTTTGAAGGACTTTTTTCTGTTTAATTTTTGTAATTTTTAAGAAGGAGTAAAGCTTTTTTTTAATTCCTTTTCTCTTTTTTTTTTCTTCCCTTTTTTTCTTTTTATTATAACTCTTTGGAGGGAGTTATGATTTTTGAAGGAATTTTTATAATTTTTTAAGAAGGACTAAAGGTTTTTCTTTAAGATGGCTCCAAAGCATCCAGGGATTTCTACAGCTTCTAAATCAACAGTTTCACCCTCTTCTGGGGGTCAGCTAATAACTATGAAGGATTTGCAAGACATGATGGGAGATGTTATAATTCAAATTAGGGCAGAAATGAAAAAGATTTTAGAGGAAAACAATAAGATCTTGAGACAAGATTTTGTTTTGGCTTTAGAAGGTGTTGCTTCTGTTCTTGAAAAGGTGAACTCCCATGTGGAAGAGGTAGCTGAAAAAGTGGACATAATGGAGGGGAAAATTGAAAGTATGGAAAAAGAAATGGAAAATGAGATTCTTATGCTTCAATATGGACAAATGGAATATGCCTTAAGAATTAGAGGCCTGGGAGAGTCTTTGCAAGGAGATCTGAAGGAGATGGTTGCAAAGGACTTTGCATTGATTTTGAATAAAGAAAAAGAGGGAATACTTAGTGAAATTGAAAAATTATTTAGGGTTAACTCTGTGGTGGCAGCACAGAAGAATCTGCCAAGAGATGTGGTAATTTACTTTGGTAAAAGATCTTTACGCAATGAAATTGTGCAAGCCTATTATAAGAAGAGATTTCAAATTGCTTCACAAGATGTTATAATTTTTAAGGAGATCCCATCTAAAATTTTAAGAAGAAGAAAGGAGTTTGCTTTTTTAGCAAATGAACTTAAAAAGAGAAAAATTTTATTCAGATGGGATGTTCCGACTGGAATGGTGGTGAATTACCTGGGGACATGTTATAGACTTAATACTGTTTCTCAAGCAAAAGACTTTTATACTTCGGTCCTGGGGGTATGTGCATCGCCATCTATTAAGTTTAAAGCTTTGGAAGAAAAGAATGTAGAATCACAGTTTGAAGAGCCTATATTTATGAAAACTGGAGAATCTTTGTGTGAGAGGCCTCAACAAGTCCAGGTTGAGGAGCAGAAGACAACTTGTGCAGTATACAATTCCAAAGAAAAGCAGCAACAGAAGAAGGTTAAGGAAGTTTCATACTCAGTGGTTTCTGAATCTCTGGGAGATGTTAGACCTACAAAGTCTTTGGAGCAATCTTTAAGGGTGGAATTGCTGCCTGAAATGGAAATTGGGAAATCTCAGTTTGAGGGGCATCAACAAGAGAGGAACGGGCAGAGGATAACTTGTACAACTTACAATTGTAAAGACCAATACAAGGAGGAATTCAAGGAACCCTTATTGGCTTCGGAGTCGATGGGAGATTCAGGAATTTTGGAGCAGTCTCCTAAGGCAGAACTTGCAGCATTTCTTACGAGTTTGATACAAGAATGGAGAAGGGAAATGGAAGAATGGAAGAATGGAGAATGGAAAAAACTGGAATGTGAATAATTAATAATACTAACATAATTGAGACTGATAAGGATGCAGTTTCTTATGGATGGAATTTGTTATTGGTGAAGATTGAAATGTTTAATGTGTTTATTAATTTTGTTGTTTTAAGTTTTGAACCTTTAATGATAATATTGTTTAAATTTGTGTTTTGAAGGGATTATAATTTGCTTATTTTAGTGAGGGGATTCTAATGTTTTAAATTTTAAGTAATGTTTAAATTTGTGTTTTGAAGGGAGTATAACTTGTTCAAGTTTTAAGTATGCTTAAATTTGGTTTTTAAATATTATTAATATTTTTAAGAGAAAATAATTTGTT